TTCATTGTTCGATCTCTACATAGGCTGACAGAAGTGAGCAGAACAGTATCAATGAATAGTGCAGTGATGTGGAGTTTTGCCTCCTGAAAAAAAGAAGAGAAATCCCCTAGACTGCACACATCCAACCTGTGGCCCTCATCCTGCATGTGGCCCAGTACAGCTCACAATGCAGCCCGCTCCCTGCCCCATGCCATCAGGGTGGTGGCAATTCCCCTCTAAATGTTCTGACTGTGCTCTGGGTGCACACCGATTCCCTAGCATAAAACCAAACAACTCAAATGGACTCTATTGTAAAAGCTAGTTATGTGGTAGGGAATCTGAATGCAAAAAAAAAAAAAAAAAAAAAATCAAAACCATTTACTGACAATGAGTTTAATAAGCAACATATGAAAAGCATGGCAGATATAATGTGTCTTTATAAAAAAGCAGACCTTTCTAGAATCAGTTTGTCACACTGGACCATAGCCAAACAAACTGAAGAAACAAGAAACTCTTAAAAGAAATTTGGAGAGTGAAGCTGGTAATTTCAAATCTGATGCTTTGGTGACACATGAAAGTACTGATGCTGCAGGCACAGCTCAGCTTGCCATTTTCAAGAGAGGTACTGATAACAAGTACAATGTCACTGAAGAAATTATTTATTTACTGCATTTACTTTAATTACATTAAAGCAGTTTTCTTTAACCTTTGTCAACATGTCTGGTACAGATACTGATGGTGCCCCAGTGACAACTGCTAGAAAAGGGGGCCTTACAAAAGTTACTGGAAGGCGATGCAACTGCTGTCAGCAACTCATGTTTGATGAAATGGTGCTGCATCGTTCAACAAGAAAATTTACACGCAAAGCTTTCAAAATCAATAGTCATGAAAATCATCAGCAAAGCTGTGAATTTCATGATGGCCAAAGGATTGAACCAGTTCTAGGCGTTCCTTCAAAGTATGGATGCTGATTATGGGGGCATCTTTTGCTTTTCTGAAGGAAGGTGGCTGAGTTGGGATAAAATGCTGAGATCTAACTTATCAGAGAAAAATATCCCTCACTTAACAATAACGCTTTACTTTTTGTCAGCAATTTTTTTTTTTTTTTGGCAGTACATACATTTGTGAACAACTGTTTTCAAGGCTGAAGTACTGGAAGGGCACAATTAGATCAAAACTCTCTGACGAGCACCTTGAGACCTCACTAAGTATTGCAACTTCTTTCACTGAATCAGACAGACATTGATGCACTATTTTCACAAAACCAAGGTCAAATATCCCACTGATTTCATGTTCCTGTTGCTCTCCTTTTTTAATGCTTTAATAAAAAATATTTAAAAACACAAAATAAGTATTTAAATACATTAGCTACATTATGTATTTTATATATTGTCCAAGACAATTCCTCTTCACACAATGCAGCCCAAGAATTCAGGAAGATGGAGACCCATGTTCCAGACAGAGCATTTACTTCAGTTACAAAGATCACTACAGCTGCAAATTTCAAGCTCAGGCTCTGGTTTCTGTCATCCTCTTTTTCTGGTGCTAACCTGCATCAACTGTTATTTTTCCCATGAAGATGCACAGGATCTGTCCTATAACCCATTCCTGTTTAATAAGTGGCTACACTGAAAATGTCATTTCCTCTTTTATGTGTGTTATTTATTGAAATATGTTGCTTTCCACAGACTCCTTTTGTAAAGGCAGCTGGGGGAACCTCTTCAGAGGAACCTGATTCCTGTTTAGGGATTAGGCTTTCAAAATACAATAACTGATAGTATTCCTCCTTTTACTCCTTCCCCAGATTTCTAAAGACCCCATCTGCAGGAAGAAAAAAAAAGTGGGATATGCAAGGGGTTAATATTCAAGGTACGCACATGCAAAGGCAGCAACCCCCGCTGCTTTTTGTTTCCTTTTTGTTTCCCTAGTTAATCTTTCTGCTGTGCTCCCAGTCAGACTGGTCGGAGAAGATAGTTAAACAGTTCAGAGTTCAGGTCTCAGACTAGTCTTCTTCACTAGTCCATAAAGCCTTCCTCCTGTTCGGTTAAGGGACAGCAGACATTTACTGTCATGTTTCATCCCGTTAAATGCAAACTTCTGTTATAAGTTATTTATTTTGTCTGCGCACATCCCTAAAGAGAACACTGCCTGTTTAAATATTTGTGTTCTTTCCTCTGTTTTTCCTTACGCAAGTATGATTAGGTGCACTGAAATTGGTGGAGTGGCAGTTCTGTTAACAAAAATGTCCTCTCTATCTCTGAGACATCTACAGCATATGAAACAACCATCCCATCCACACACAACTGCTCAGTAATCTCTACAATGCACTTTGGTGTCTGATGGCAAATGCAGCCACAAAACACTTAGTCTTTTTCCTACATGAAGACACTGTTAAAACCACACAGCTTATCTTGTGGCTGAAAAGTCACAAAAATCAGCAAACTCCAAGTAACTGTCCAGAAAGCAAGTTTCTTCTGAAAGGATCTGCTCTTTGGCATCCCAAAATCAGTGCTTATCCAGTTATCCCATGGATTCTTTCCAGGACTCCAAGGGCAACAGATGAACTGGTAAGACTGGAAAGTAGGTGCAGCATGTATCACTTGCATTTCCACTAGCTTTGTGTAGTTTCTGGGTGTTAATTACCTTAGCAACCAGGTTCCTAAGAATATGTATATATATTCTTCTGTTAATCTGACCTTTTTCTATTTTATTTTTTCTGTTAAACATATAAACGGTCTTCTTAAGTTCCTGGGTTTTGCCACTGCATTTTCATTGTTCACATTTCCAAGTGAGAATAAATGGTTCCGGTTGTCAAAACCTTGAAGTTGTTGAACATATTTAACTTAAGCACCCAGTATAAGTATTGAACAAATTGCACCACTTCACACAAAAAGAAGTAGAGGAGCCACCTCTCTCCCAGAAAGGTTGACCACAGAGACCTTACTAGAACTAAAAAGTACATATCACAAAAGTTTTATGAAACACTGCTACATAAAAATATGTTCAAGAACTATTCCATTTAATAATGCATTTATGACCTGCAGTTCACTTTCTAACACATCACTGTGCCCTAAAGAACAGTCAATAAGAATGACAAATAAATCAGACACTCTGAAACTGAACATTTTCCTGTCTACCAGCGTCACTGCAAATGGATTTTAGTCTGGATAGTATTATACACTAGCAACAACTATATAGCTATAGCTATAATAGCTATAACTAAGCTACTAGAATGAAATGCATGAATAAATTACTGCATGAACGCAGAATGCTTGCCCAGATTTTCACAGAGCAAGGGAGCAATATTAAATAACAACAATACCAGAGCAAGTACGAGTTTCCTAAGAACATTCAAACACACACATATGCATAAGCGGCTGCATCTGAGAGACTGCTTAGTGGCAGAGAATTCAGAAGCTGGGGTGCCAGAAAACATCAGAATGGCTGTGCCACTTCAAACAAAGGATCCATTAGCGAGCACTGTGCCTCAGACAGCCGGCAGTGGGACTGCTTAGGGAAACTAAAGTTCGAAACAACATAAAATGGTGTTTCTCACAATGCTTTCTATTGCCTCCAGCAATACAAGAACTTAGTTAGCCAAGTATTATCTTTTCTTTCATATGTTTTGAAAGATTTTGCCTACTTTCAACACCTTGCAAAGTTTTAGCAACACAATACTTTGTGATAAATTCTAGTTTTCTTGTATAGGGATGGAGTGCAATATTCAAACTAGCTACTTATGGTGTACAAAAACTAATAGCTGGCAGTGAAATGAGCAGTGGTAACAAGAGATGAGTGAAAGTTTCACACATAATTAAAATACCAATATACTCCATTATTTAAAAACGAGGGCAGTTTAAGTTTTGGATACTAGTAGAAGCAGATAGTAAGGCTTGGATATGAATAGAGAATAGGACATGACCAGGGATGTGAGCCATTCAAAGGGATGTGACCCTCAGCCTCCTACATACCACTTAATGCCTATTATCAACAAATCAGACAAACTTTGTGCCTCGTTTCTCAGCCATCGTAAAATTTCTTGCCCTTCTTTGCCTAGCCCTGCAAACACCTTCTCCAATAACTGTAAAGACAAAGATCATGAAGACGGGCAGGTGTACCTCTGTAGGAAAGAAAGCAGACGCATCCAACTTCGAGAGTTTGTGCTTGAGGCATCACTTGGCACCTATTTTCAGATCTCTCACGGCAACAGCTCGGGGTCCCCGGCCCGGAGCGGCAGGGCGGCTGAAGGACGTCAGCATCGGGGGATGTAGGGCTGTGGGAACCGGGGAACCGCAGACAGGTAAGGGGGGATTACCTCCTGCTCTCCGGCCTCCTGCAGCACTTATGTTTCGTGGCAGGCCGGGGACGAGGCACCACGCAGCAGGCAGCGGGCCAGGCCCGCACCGGAGGCCATAGCCAGGGAGCACCGCGGCGGGGGCCCGCTGAGGCGCCCGCTCTGACGCGGCCCGGGGCCGGCTGCGACCGCGCTGGAAGGAAGGCTGGGCGGACAGGACGCTGCTAGAACCGGCGAGCACCCTCCCGTAGCGGCGCCGGGTCACACCTGTCCGGCCGCACCGCCACTTCCAGCCCCGCGTCCTTCCCCTTCCTTTCCCACGGCCGCCTAACTGCCCGTCGAAGTGTTTCTTGTCGTGAAACAGAAGATTAACCGAGGCGGTGAGCTCGAGGGCAGAGCAGGCACGAGCGGACAGGAAGTGCAGAACAGCATTTTCTCGTGTCCCGTTCCCGCCCGTCCCTGCTGCTAGGCTCATGAGGGAACCGCGCTGCGCACGCGACTTCGGAGGGGTGGGGAGGAACCCAGGGGATCGGTTGGGCGGCGGCGGGGCGGCGGGCGTGTCGGTTGCGGAGGGGTCGAGGGAGAGGCGGTACGGGCCGGAGCGTGAACGCAAAGGTGCAGGGATCTGCAAAGCCGGCTCTCTGCCTTCTGTCCGGGCAGTGTGCTGTTGCTTGAAGGGTGTTCGGCCGGCCTCGCAGCGGCGCTGGCAGCCAGGAGCCCTGCAGCCACCGTGCCGGCTGAAGGTCCTGGTGAAATCGGGACTGTGGCCGCTTTTTTAAGACTCTTGGCACCCTGGCTTTGTCGGCGCGCGGTTACTTAGTAAGACTGAACACAAAGCACCCCGATGAAGCTTGACGTTCATCTGAAGTGCTTTAAGTGCTTTAAATCCACTGTAACTCGTGGCATTTCTTCCACATTTATCTGCAATAAAAACCTGGAAGTGGGTACCCTCTGATAGCATTTGAACAATTACATGTATTTAAAAGAAAACTGACAAAAAACTTTGCCAACTGCGTGATGTAATTACCACAGTGGAGCTCTTTCCATAGTATCACCCCATCCCTTGTTTTCAGGAAAGGAAATAAAAGCGAGGTCTCATTTTTTGGATAATACCGAGGTTCTGAAACTCAGTGATGAGGTTGAGTCTATCTATTTTGCTTTCAGTAAATTTAAGCTGAGGTTGCTCCCACAGCTTAGCTGCATATACAGATACAGAATTTAGTATGTGCAGTTATCTGGTGCTACCGTGTGTGTGTGAAATACTGGACATGAGTGGGGGTTTTACAGCTCACATTGGAAATCAGGGATTGCCCTGTGTCAGAATATTTGAGAGAGAGGCTTTAAGACAACTGTACAGTAGATGAAAGTAGATGAACAGAACAGTAGATGAAATTGTCTAATGATTTCTTTGATGCAGATACTAAAGTCATTACTTGGCACAAATACAGCATCTTGAGAGTAATTCTCTCTGAACCACTGAAAATGGTTTCAAAATGAATTAAAAGTAGTATGCAACAGACAGTTGTTAACTGGTTACTTTCAGATCAAATTCTTAATGAATTCATATCTAAATTGAGAATTGTATATATTTTAAATAATAAATTGTACTGCAATACTGCTTTCCCTCAACAGGGAAAATCAACTCACCTTAAAGTAAAATAAATTATAAAACACCTGCTTTCCTTGTAGATGGCCAGACAAGAACCTCAAGAGAGAAACTATGACAATATGCTGAAGATGATAGAGGACCTGAACAGAGACCTAGAAAAACTTCTGGAGGAAATGGAAAAACTGACAGGTAAAGGTCTTTATTAAGACAACATGGATTTGTTTACTAGAGTGAAGACACTGAAGATGTATTATTTATATTTATTGCTATGAACTTTCCCATGTCATAGAAATGTAAGTGGGAAAAATCACCATCAGCTAATGCCCTGAATTGAGAGAAGGAGTGCAAGCAATCAAACTAAAAGTTAGTAGAACATGCTTGGTTCAGAGTGGTGGCTGAGAACAGAAATAATATTAAGGCATGTAACTGTCAATTAAAACAGATAAAAACATAAAATGAAATTTAATTTTGAAAAATGGTGGAATGTGCAGTAACTCAAGTTAGTGTGTGATATTTAATTATTTATTAGTCACATGGAAGATTCCTTTGCAAATTTAATCTTAGTCCCTTACCTATGGAGGGGACTGCATATTCTTCTTTATTTTCTGCAGCAGTTCTGTCAGAAACTATATGCAACCAACATGAATAGATGGAAAGGGATAATTAAACAACTTGCAATTAGTGGCAACTTGCAAATGTTGCTGAGAAAACAACAGTCCGTTTATGATAAAACAGAAGGAAAATATCAATAAATACAAGAATAATTTCCTCTGCTTTATCAGATACTTATTTTTTTCTGAATTGATCTCATTAGTTTCACTGTTCTTAATAGTTTTTCATCTCCATTCTGTGGCCTTCTTATTTCTCCTCTTCGTCACTGCTTTCCTCTTCCTCAACATTACTGATCTGGTGGGAATTCTTTGGTTCAGTTCATTTATTTTAAAAAAGCCTGTAGTGCCTTTCTTTTTAATTACTCACTTTGTTGTAAACTGTAGGTAAAAATGTCCATCACCCTTTCGTACTTTACAGTGTATACATCCGTATACTTCCATACTGAAGTATTTTGAGACATTTATAAGGAAATAATATCAGATTTATTATATCTATTAATTTTGAGCATTATTGTGGGCAGCTTCTTCTGTTGTATGTCAGGCTTCCTCTAACATAAAATCTGAACTGATAATAATTAATGTATTTTATTTTTTTGTTTTATCACCCCCTGTGTTTTTAGCCAAGATTTCTGGCTTGGTAGTATTTCTTGTGTTTGTAGTTCAGGCAACCTGGATGGCATATGACATGGTAGTAATGCGTACCAACCCTGACCTGACCGATTCCATGAGGCGCTTGGAAGAGGCCTTCCTGAACTGCAGAGAAGAAATGGAGAAAAAATGGCAAGAAGTGCTAAGAGAATCTAAAGGTGAAGAGCAAAAAAAGGAATAAGTTGAATTTAGTCATGCTGGCAGAACTGTATCGCTTGGAAAGTCTCCAGTTTTTTTGTATTCCAGGCATGGAGTTTTCACAAACACCATGGAATTGCTGTTCACCTTACTAAGAACTATGCATGTGTTCACATTTATGGAAATATTTTTATGATATATTAATATTGTTGAAGATAAAAGGTAACTATGTTTCTAATTTTTATTATGCTCACCTTGTACAGTGGATGTGCATACAGAACTTAAGATGCTATAAGTGTTTTTTTTTGGTTTTCCTGGAAGATCACACTCACTTCACAGTCAGTATGCCTATGTGGAATTCTTTGATTCATAAACAAATTGAGTGGAGGGAGAAGGGGAGGGTATGCAGTACACAACTACACCAATGTGCCTTTCAAGGAAAAGTAAATAATTCATTTTTTTTACCAAATTAACAATTTTAGACTTGCAGATTCATCATGCTAGTTTAATGTGAGATTACCTACCAGGTGTTCATCAACAGAATTTTATTATTAGGTAGCTCATCTGTAATTTTTTTTTTCTCCATTATATTTCCTTGGAATTTCAGCCATTTATTTGAATTGACTGTCCCAGAAAGTTTATTCTCTTGAAATTCTCTGAAGGTAAGAAAAAAATGTTCAGTTATAAACTACACTTTGTGTGGTACAGTCTGTGGGATTGCTGCTGAAACCAAATTGATCTTATTATAAAACATGACTTTCTCCCTATGTTCCTTCTATATGTTATTAAAAAGGAATAGTAAAAAATTTCCCTTGTAGTCAAGATGCAGGCTAAGAGCACCACCTTGTGGCTTGCAGTTAATTCATAAATATTTTATCTAAGCTGGAAAACCATGTAAGTTTCCATTAAAATCATTATGTTAACAGGCTGATTTGCAGCAAGCAGCAACATAGCAAGTAATAGCACCCTAAAGTAATGTCAACTTGCCCTCCCTACCCCCATTTATACCTACTGTTTCTAGAGGCAGATGGAAAGTTTGAACTACATTCTCGACTTTTGTTGCAGAAGAAAGGTCTTCATCCCAGCCAAGGTAGGGCAAAATAGCAATTTGATCACTCCTTGGAGGACCTTCATGGCCTGTTTTCACTTTAGTACCTTGACTGCATCACCTCCATTTTTTAAATCTGCATTAAGAACTTTTTCTTTCTTTCTTTTTTTTCTTTCTTTTTTTTTTTTAAGTGTCACAAGTATTTTAACTGCTCATGTAGTGCAGAGATTTACTGAATTTAATGATTGTGTGGTGTAATTTTTTTGGTCATCCTTTTTCTTACTTGTGGAAGTTACCCTAGTAACCACATGCCCAACAAACACGCACCTATGACGAGGGGTAGGGAGAGAAGTTGGGAAGAGAACAAGACACTGCAGGTTAGAACTGTGAGAAAGTAGAACATGGAGAATCTGGCTACCTTAGTAGACCAAACTGCCTCTTCCTCTCTAAACCTTTCTTCTCAGCTGCATAATGATAACTACACGGGACTTGGGGAGATGCACCAGAATAGGGACAAGATTATTATACTTGTCTTTTTCTACTAACAATTTTTTTTTTTTTTTTTTTTTTTGAGATTTATTGATAATGAACTTGAAGGAAGAGTGAGTTTTGTTTCACGCATCTCACCATCTTCCACATTTCAGCCCAGTTAGATATCTTAGATCTGCAACGGAAACCAACTGATGTCCTGTCACAGGGGTATGGAATACAAATTTAACTTACAAAAATAAAAAGGTGGTGGATCAACACCTTCATCTAGTGTTCACATAACTTAAACAGTAATCAAGATTGCTGGGCTGACATCTCTATCATCCATCATGGAATATTTATGTAAAGAAAAGTGTCAGTAACAGTTAAGCTTTATGCTCACTTGCAGTGAACTCTACTTATGTGATTTCAGCCCTTACAGCAGTTATACACAAGTGCTTCCTGTGCTGTATTCTACAGAAAAGCATGCTTCTGTACAACAGCCACAACAGCAAGAGAAGTTGGCACTGGTGCACTGCCAATCTATGTGCCCAAATATAGCAGGAATAAGGAATTTTTTCCTTAGCTATTCTTTCCTAACCTTCTGATGGTAACATTTCATAAGCAAGTCACAAATCAGCTGAACTTTGTTGTTAGCTGTTTTAGACGCAGATCTGGAGAGACACTAGAATTAGTTAATGCTAATTCATATTGCATGAATAAAGACAGTGCTCATCACAACAAGATTTACAGATCATAGGTACCTAACTCGTCTTCAAGGTAAGGATGGATGCTCAAGAATTAACTATCCAAGCAGTAGCAAACTAAGCCATGTGCAGTCTCATCCAAAAAGCCTGTAATGACAAGATGAAGCAGAATTGAGAAGGGCCTGTGGAGCCTCTGCATTTCACTTACTTAGGCATCTCACTCCTTGTTGAAATATAGCCTAAAGCTCTGGTTAGAATATTTATTTCTTTCAGTACTGGTGCTTTCCAATTCTCACCACCCTTTTGGCTGGTATGACTGCTTTTCCCCAGCCATATATTAGCATCTCAGAACAGATACTTCCTTGCTACAACTTTACAGTGATGCTGAGGGCCAACTGGTTTTACAGATGAAAAAAAGACCAATAGAAAGGACAACATCCAAGACTTAAACTCAGAATTTGCAAATAGACTTTCTGAACAGCCAAACCAAATTTACTTGTATAGCTCTTAATCATCTTTGAAAGTTTCCAGGGATCTACAAATTGAAGAATTCAAGGCTGTTACTCTACAACTAAGGTCACTACAACTCTTAGTATCCAGATCGTGAATTTCATTTGAACATTCTAAGGAGTCTGAAGCACATGTCCTTGCATGAAATAAGCATGCACATAGAACTGGTTTTCTCAGCCTTTATGGCAAGCTTTACAGCAACAAATGATTTACTGTAAAATGATTAGACCATGCTTGGGCCTTGCTGAATGAAGAGAAATTTTCTTAAGCATCATATTAAAAATATAGCCTATATACATATATAATAAAACTTATTTATATATTCTCTTATATATTTACTTATTAAAACATTAAATAAGGAGAACAAAAGCAAAACTAGTTGGACATTTGACCTTGTTTTTGTGAAAACAAGGCATCAATGTCTGGTTCAATGGAAGTGGTCACAATTCTGAAGGTGCTCATCAGAGACTTGATCTTATTTTATACTTCCTATGCCTTTATGTACGTACCACCAAAAATAATGACGTGAACAGGACATAACTGTAAGGCAAGGGATATATATTTTTTTAATGTTAAGATAAGCCTGATATAAGCCTAGTAAAGAGATGCGATCAAATTTTTGAGTTGAATATCTGACTGCAATTCCATACATGCTGTGTATGGCTATCCAGAATGTGCTTGTCTTTTATGTTGCTATTGCCACTGCTGAAACACACAAACTGTCCCAACATTCAGTGTTTGGTCTCCGTAAAGGTTTAGCAAGCATCAATGAATGCCAGTGGGTGCCACTTTTTTCCCCCCAAGGAGGAATTCAGTGACCTGCCTTTGCTTCATAAGCACCTTCCATTTTAGATGCCATTTTGTCTGACTGCCCTTCAGCTGCCGTGTGTCACACAGTAACAAACTGTAACAGAATATTAGCAGGAAGGCTCAGTCTCTGCTGCCATACCAACACCTGCTTCTGACATCATGGGCCAATAGAATGAAATAAGGCTGCTCCAAAAGTAATGCCTCCATGTACAGTAAATATCAAAGCATTACTACAGCATTTAAGAATGTCTGTTAAGATTATAATGAACCAAGACAGCCCTGCACCCATATGCCTGAAGTGGATTTAGTACTACTTAAAGATTTTTGAGAGGTATGTGTGCTTTTGTCAAGTTTTTAATCTGTCAGAACAGCCATATTCTTTTTCTCCCAGAAAAGATCCATGAGGATCACTGTTTCCTTCTCTTCTCTTGTCTGTAGCACAGTGGTTTCAGCACAGAATGTATCTCACAGTAGTCCCTACCTAGCACTTCTGAAAGCAGGCATGGAAGTGATCAGTGCTGCAATATGAGCTTACTCTACAGTGAATGAGTGCATCACTGCACGTGCTCGAAGGAAGCAAAAGCACTTTTATTCCTGAACCAAGTCTGTCGTTTTCACTTCACTGTTTATTCAGAGTTCTTAACTCACTGATCATAAAAGCAAGCCAAGAAACATTTAATACTGTAAGCTAGGGGCAGGGCAATCCATGCATCATGCTTTCCCTTATCCCTCCCTCACACCAGGTGAAGAGAAAGGGAGTAAGGCTCCAAAGCAATTTGCTCCCAGCCCTTATTATTCACTACTCAAGACTCCCTTCCTTTCCCCACTCCCTATTTCCTGAGGAGTAACATGGGAATGTAAGACCCCAGAGAATCTCATACGATTTTTAATTATTAGAATAGAGAAAGTAGGGGGGGAAAACAGTAGTAGGAGTCACCTGCCACAAATCTCTCCATTTGTTTAGTCTTAAATGTATACAGTGTTGCTCCATATCAAAGGGGATTTACCTGAAGCAAAATTCACTAGAGGCTGGATAAGCGTTGTATCACTAGGAACAGAATTAGGCGTTTTAAGGAAACAAATACATTATTCAAGGTCAGGATAACATCAATTGTAAAAGCAAGAACGTGAGAAATACCAGGCCAGAGAATGAAGCATGCAACAAGATAGCTGAAGGAACACACCCATACTCAGCAGCTGGCAGTAGTGTGATAACATGCAAGACAGCCCAGGTTTGGGGATGGACACACACACACACACACACACACACACACACACACACACAAAATCAAAACCACACAACCTCACACATATTAATAACCAAAGAGTTATACTAACACAAAATGGAGCAGGTGGAAAAATTTCATTGTTTTCAGGTAAGGAAAACTGTAGAGACTAATGAAATGTACTGCCATTATTTGGAACTTTATTTGCTAGAATGAGGTAGCAGCCTAAGTCTGGGCAGAGAGAAACCTATAGCCTTAGATTCTACTGCTTCAATAACAAAAACCTTGCAAACCAGAAGGGAAAAAATATCCCACTAATCCACTCTGGATATTACAAACAACTGCTGCAATATAGTAACAGAAAAACCTAAAATCAGAAATGCAGAGAGGGTAGTGTAGTGTTATAGCTCTGTTGTCTAATTACCTTGCAGAAGCTGTTCTTGTTTTATAGTAGCCATAACTAACCCAGTCAAGTCCTTGCACATGTATTATCCAGCAGTGTTTTAGACAAGACATATCACTGCATATTAAGAGATGCAGTTCATTTTCACATGTAAATACTGAAGCAGCAAGATTAGAGCATGAATGATTTTAAAGGTAAATATAAACAAACACTTCAATGGATTGGTTTTGGTAGTTGAAATCACTTTTATTTGCAAGGAACGTCACCCATGCTGCACAGTTTCAAATAGATCTTACCAAGGAAAGCTGAAATTTCTCCTCCCCATGTCCTGAAGTGAACAGGACTGGCACAGAAAAAAAAAATTATTCAACACACCTGGGAGGTCTAGCACCAGCATCCAATAAAGAAAAGCATTTGATTTCTATTTCAGTTCTTTCATTGGGTATTTTCCCCTTTTCAGTTTGATACCAAAAGAAAAACTGAAAAAATTCAACACTAGTGAAACATTGAAATTCTAAACAAGAAAAAACCCACAGTTGCTCTTGAAACTGGGGAGGTTGCTCTTTCCAAATCTCACTCTTTATGCATCTGTCTTGCAGGCGTTCCCTGGATCTCAGTTGCTGGTATTTTTTTTTTTTTTTTTCCTCCTGCTTTTAGTTCTGATGTTTTGAATCTTTGCTTTCATCACTGTTGCTTATTTATTGCTTGAATGTTTCTTTGGTGTTATTTCTGAGTTATATTTTAGGACACCTGTTGAAAAAAGTCAAGTTAAAAAAGCAGTTTAAAGTTTTGCTTTCTTAGTGCAGAGAATATTCTATTCTTATTAATGGCAAGATAAGCATGACCAGAATATCTTATTTATAAATTGAGTACCACATCTTCCTAAAATACCAACTCATCAACAGATGGTATGCATGAAGTACACACACACACACACACACAGAATCACAGAATGGCCAGGGTTGGAAGGGACCTCAAGGATCATGAATCTTCAACCCCCCTCCACCACATACTAATACTAGACCAGGCTGCCCAGGGCTTCCTCCAGTCTGGCCTTGAACACCTCTAGGGATGGGGCATCTACCACCTTTCTGGGCAGACTGTTCCAGCACCTCACCACTCTCATAGTAAAGAGCATCCCCATGATATCCAACCTAAGTCTTCCCTCCTTCAACTGAAAACCATTTCCCCTTGTCCTGCTGTTATCTACCCTTTCAAAGATTAGAGTTACCTATATAGATAAAGCAAACTTTACTTTGTGACAGACAGACAGATGCAGAGGAAGAAATTTCTTGACTCACCTATAAAAGGCTTTCAGAAGTTACTACAAGTATCTAGCCAGAAATATAGATATGTGACAACATGCCAGGAGTTCTAGAAATC